CTCGTTGTGCAATGCAATTGCTCAGCCACTATCAGAATTATAGTGACTAGTACTAGGTTCGGCCTTGAGATCCCATGGGGTTTTTTCCCAAGGATCTTGGGATAATATTTTTCTAAGAAATTTTGCTACTGATGTTCACTGAGGAATGCGTAGGAGATGGAAGTGCAGGGCAGTAACGTAGTTGGTATGAAAACTACCCTAAGTACGAATTGTAGGTAACTGTGAATAAGTGACCACTGACAGCATCCTGAGATCTAACCACATTTTTTCGCGTTGATTTTTCTCTTTTATCTTCTTGCAAACATCAAAATAAGTGTGCCTTAGGCTTTTGCCCCTTGACGTAGGTGGAGCACATTCACCCCCCTTTCCGAAACCAAGGCCAATGAGGATACACAAACAGCGTTGAAGCTGCTCAGCCGTGCCGCTGTCGTATTGATGAAAGGGAGATGTTGAATCATCTTAGCACACTCAAAATATGATAGGCCCCGATGAGATGCGAAGCAAAACATTGTGCGCAAACTGAAGTTCACCGCAAACCGTCCTGTCATCAATCCGCAGACTACGTGGTTTTGATCTTGTTTTCCTTCTAGACATCACCAAAAGCTGACTATTTCCTGGTCCAAAGGAAAGCTGGGTGCTATTTGTGCTGGATATGGAAATCTTAGGAAACAGATGCTGCCGAAAGAATCGAGTGACCACTCAATGTAAAGCAGAGAGGGAGAACGGAAACACATGTTGAAAGGATGGCAACACCTACGGAACCGTGCAAACTTAGTTCGGAGAGTTCATCAATGCTTATTAGGAGCTCAAATGCAGGTTGCTTGCTAATGCGCCAACTCCGACAATGCAGACCGTCCGTAATGCATGTCCCAGTCATTACAATGCAATGTATGGTGCTGATCTATCCCTGAAGCCCTCCAATGTCGAGACCAACCTGCAACTGCGCGACCACGGCAGTACCTGAATTACACAAGTTTATATACATCCGAGAATTCCAGGTACGAAAGATGTATATCATGACCAATAGTACCGGCACGCAAATCAAGTCCTAGAAGCCGTACTACGACCCCAAGCTCCCGTTGCGCTCGTGGCTCGACCCACTAGGAGACACGAATTCTCTAGCAAGCGCGCTCCTGAGGTCCTCGTAGTTCGGTCGGCCGTTGCTACCCTGGTGTTCCTGCTGCTCCGTGACCAGGAGTGGTTCATCGACTTGCATATCTTCCTCCCTGCCGTCTAGCGGCTCTGGAGCAGGGTGGTTGGGTTGTGCCGCCTCCGCCTCCGCCTCCACTTCGCCTGCGAACGCTTCCGCCACACTCGAATACTTCCTCGATAGTAGTGGTCTCGGTACCTTTTGAGGCGTGTCGGGGGCGGAGTTGTTGGTGCCAACCTTGCGAGCTTTCTTCTTCAGGTACTTATTGATTAGGGGTTGCGCTATGTTCTCCTCCGGCTCCCATGTAGGGTTCTGGTCGGCGGGCCAATCGCCTTCCCATCGTACTCTGAACCATCGCTGTTGAGCACCGTTGTCCTCCACGATCTTATCTGCTTCCAATCGCTTGACTCCCCAGACAGGTTCTTCCACTGGCTTGGGCTTGGATGCTTTCGCCCCGCGGGACTTGGATGGTGTCGCGTCCGAGGTGGGAGCCGTTATCTCTATCGACGCGTTAGGCCTCGATGAAGGCGGCAGTGATGGCCGCTGAACCGTGCTACGACCGGCCGGTGTGAAGCCGTAGTGTTGTAAGGTAGATTTTGTCGACTGCGACGAAGCAGCGCCGTTTGGGGTTGGGCATGGGTTCGGAGCGGCTGAAATGGAGGGCGGCGCGTTTAGTATGTCATTGCGGCTTGCCGACAATGAATGCGAAAGAGTTGGAGCGGGTGGATTCATTGTTCTGGGCTTTTCAGGCTTCTTGGACAATCCATATCCTAAGTCGTCTCGTTTTCTTCCAAAACTTGGAGACGTCGAGACTTGGGTAAGAAAAGGTATGCGCGTCGGAATTGCGTCTTGGTCGATGTCCATTCCACTGTCGTCTCCATGCAGCTGCCTGAATATAGCATCGTCTGCATCCAAATCGTCTGGATCATCCTCCGCTTCCGTCACGAGTTCTACCCCATGCTTCTTTTGGGGTGTAGAGAGTGAAGGGCCCGAGGTACTGGTAGGTGGTAGTTGTACGTCCACCTCAGTCGTAATGGCGCTCGTTTGTTGCACAAGTCTGCTGGCGTGAAGAGTCGACTTACTCGGACGGCCACGCTTCTTCCGGCCAGGCAATGCAGGTGTGAAGGACTTCGACTTTGCGGGATCGATCGCGGTTGGCGCGTTCAGTCTGGACTTCGCCGATTCCACCTTCTTGCGCGCCGCTCTGGCTATTTGTTCTTCTCTCTCGCGGTCTTTTGCCAATTGATGTGTGTATTCCCAATCCTCCACAGTTCGAGGAGACACGTAGTCGTAGATCTTGGTTGCTAGGATCGCTACGCACGCCGCAGGGAGGTCCGGCCATCCGACCACATAATACATCTGTAGCTTGAGTTCGCCATTAACCGGGGTGCCGGGACGTATGCGCTTGTCGATTATGTATGCGGCGGAATCTTTCTCCAGCGCGATTGCGACTGGCGCAAGCGCCGGGCCGTCGCCTGGCCTGTACGGGCGAGGTTTGGAAGGGAGAGGAATCTCAATGGCACGCTTTATAATGCGATGTGTGTCCATCGTGTTTGCAGAAAAAGAAAAGGTGGACAATAAAGAGGGGCTAAAAAGTTAAAGATAATTACATGTAATTTTCTAAGCTAAAAAAATTAAAGTATTAAATTTAAAATCTAAGAAAATAGCTATATATATTTTACCTTAATTAAAAATTTAAATAAATTAATATTATAATAAAAATATATTTATTTATATAATAAAATATTAATATTATAAAATATAAAAAACGTTTTATAATAATAAAAATAAATAAAAATAAATAATAATAAATATTTATATTTTATAATTTTATAATATTATTTTATTATATAAAAAAATTAATATTATATATAAAATTAAATTATTTAATTAATATTAAAAAATATATTTTATTTAAATTTATAAATAAAAAGTTTTAATATATAATTTAATATTGTATTTTTCTAACATTTTTTTAATATCTTTATAATAATAATAAATATTAATAAAATATATAAAATATATAAAATATATAAAATATATAAAATTTTAAAGTTTAATAAATTAATAATTAATTTTTCTTATAAATTTAATATATATTAATTTATTAATAAATAATAAATAAATAAGTTATATTAAATTTATTAATTTAATAATAAATTTTATTAAATAATAAAAATTTAATAAATTAAAATTTTTAAATATAAATTTAATTAATATATAAATAAAATTTTAAGTTTTATTAAAATTAACTTAAAATAATTAATTATTCTTTAAAGAAAGCGGTAGTTTATATTTGAAAAATAACTTAAATTATAAAAATAATCTTGTTTAGCTATGTTTAAAAAAGCTGTTAAACTCTTTTTTTATGGCTTTTTAGATACCGTATAGCATTATAAGGCCAAGGAACAGCAGATATGCAGAACGAATCGAGGAGAAAAAAACACATTACCACATCCACAACGGCAAAAAACCTTTATATTCAATATGTCGTCCTGGTCTTGAAATGTTGCAGGAAGGGAAAGATTGGGCTCTGGCAGAGAAACTCTCGAAACTGTGGCACGTCCCACTGATGGCTACTGCAGATAATATGCGAGGAAGTTAAGGTGTGATGTAGAGAGGCATCGGGTCTCCTCCCTAGCCGTAGCGAGAGGCACCCTCTCTCTTCTCCATCTCATCTATCTCATCGTTAACGGCATATGTTCCAGAACAGCGTCAATAGCACAGACAAGCATCTCTCGTGACATGTTGGTGCATGTTGACGGTCACAATAACAGCCGTGCAGACCAAGCCCCAAGAAGCAGCCGGGACTGCTGCCATAGAAGCCTGTTTACCATGCGGAATGGAACTGCCTTCTAAAATGCCATGAAGGTCCATAGCAGGTTTCAACTCTGCTCTACAAAGTTCCTAGCTCGTGGGCGGAACCAAGGGCAAGAACACACAGATCAAGAGTGGGCATGGAACCTGTTTCTGCACTGGCCTACCACGTACGAGAAACCAAAGGCAAAGAGTGAACTTCCTCCCGCCCTCTGACATTTCTAAATTCCGCTTCTTCTTTTCATCAGGCCGGATCGGAGCTAGGAGGAGGCTGGATCTCCAGGCATTTTGCTAGGCCGTAGGTGGGGTTGTGATATTCGACGGATGGCAATCGCAACCGTTAAGTTGAAATCCCTTGTAGACTAATGGACTAGTGTCTGAGATGACGGAAATCTCCTGGTCAGATGCTATTGCCTCGAGCCAGACGAGGGTGTCATAGTACCCAACTTGCCTTCTGTCAGGTTCACGGGCATATATTCTCTCTCTCCTTCTTTTTTCATTGCACTTGTTGGCTGGTCTAGCAATGCGAAGAAGAAACTCGCTATCCTGTTTGACTCTCCCTGTTGCTAGCAAGTAAAAAGCAATGACATTGATGGTTGAGGGGGAGGATGTGATGCGGCGGAAGAAAAGTAAGGTACTCCGTAGTCGGATTGGCAGCCTTGCGAGCGCTGATGCGAATTGAGGGTGCACCTCCAAGCTTTGGTCTTTTCATTCTATCTCTGTTATGATAATACCTAGGTACAATGCCAACATCAAGTGCATATAAGAATTCTGATCGGGGTTTCAACAAAGGTATGAGGGGTTTATTAGATGATTGCGAGGACAGATGTGATATGGAGGAGCAGTTCCATTGGGCAGCTTTGCAAATGCCTTTGCAGGTTAAAGGTGTATTTGTCAGAGGCGAACTCATTAATGTGATAATGCAAATCCAATACTGAGCAAAGTGAAAAAAAAAAGTCATCGTTGGGATTTCAATACAGAAAAGAAGGGTTCTATAAAGCAAAAAATAAAAATAAAATAAAAAATAAAAAATTGGGCACGGTTGGATTTGAACCAACATTAAGGGCTGTGATAGTGAGACCCTTAGTGTTTCCATTACACCACATGCCCATTAGGCTCATGATAAGGTTAGATGATATATATATAGCCACAGTTTAGGGAGCTTTTGCTCTATCCGGCCCTGATGCCCCACGTATAACACAAAGCCTACCTAGATACGTCTTGAATCTTAAATGGTTGTCTTGTGTAATTGCATCACACCAGGATAACAATAACCCAACAGGGAGAGATAAAACAATAAGGGGCGAGGCCTCCGCACAAACCTCAACAACAGTAAAAACCCTCCAGGCGTTCTTGTCATCTCCGCGAAGCTCAGCAATATATTCGGCAGGAAGATCATGTTTACCCTATGTCTTGGGATATTCGTGGCCCTCCCCCTCGCATGCGATCTGGCCCAAACTGTCTATCAGTTGCCAGTGCTATTCTACAAGCTCAGTCATATTCAATCCCTTGATACAGTTTCTTGCCAACTTGAATAACCACAGGATCGTCTTCAGAGGATTCTAAGGAATGGGCGGGGGTGGAAGTTTCTCCTTGTCGACCGTCATCATCACTGAGATTGTACCACCGTCAAGCTATCCCAAGTATACTGCCAATCTGTCGTTAGTCATCGCTCTATCGTTACTCCTATGGCCCATATTCGGAGGCGCGATCAACCCTGGTGCCAAGTGGCGATGGATATTCTATATTATGTGAGTGCACATGCGGAAACCACATGCGCAACACTGGACTAAGTACTGACTACCACCAGCGTGCCACCGGGGGTCGTGGCATTTCGCACGCCAGTGATTGCCATGCCTTGGGAGTTCCCATACCAAGGCCTCCCAGATCACAAGCCTGCCAGTTCAAAGATGTCATTCTCGGAGGCGACCCTCGAGAAAACAGATCTCTTCGGGACTCTTCTCTTACTGCTTGCAATATTGTCTCTGACAGCTGGCTTCGAAGAGGCAGGTTCACAATACTTATCGAGATCTGCATATGTCTTCCTTCACCTTTTTGACTGCAGCAGGCCTACTCTGGATTGCGCTTCTTGCGTGGGAACGCCATGTTACACTCGAAGACGAAGTTCGCGAGCCTGTCTTGCCTTGGAGGTTGGTGAAAAATCATGTGATTGCTGGGTTACTCCTCTAAGTCGCTTCTCGAAGCGTTCCACGTTGCTCCTCCTCCACATCCTTGCTGGCGTGCCTCTGGTGTTCTTGCGCTCGTCGGTCCTTTCATCATCGTATCTACCATCCAAATCCCTCAGCGACACCGAATTGTACATGGACTGTCGTCATTGGAATCTGGTGTTCGATTGACCCCCTTCACCATTTTCACGGCGATGGGTACTATGGTAGCGTTTATTACGGCTGGCACGGCGAAGGTACCACCGATCCATCTTATCTTCGTCGGCGCAAGCTTCCAGATCATCGGTTTCTCTCCACTTGGCACGATACCTCCATTGGAACACATCATGCCGAATACGGACCAGGCATCATTTCTGCTCGACCTCGGGCGGTATTTCAACTCTCTACCACTCATGATATGGCTATAAGTACCTAGGTATCTCAAGGTTTTATGTGGGATTTATGATCCCGTAGCCTCACGTGTTCGAAAACCGAGGCATAATAGCCGGCAGTGAATCACTCTAATCAAATTATTCTCGATTCAATCACGCACGGGGCGGCTCCCTAGAACGTAGGATATGCCATTCGGGTGGGCCGGGTGTGTTGGTTTCACCACATTCTTCACGTATGAATTGCAGCCTCTTGTTTACATGTTGTACAAGCTGGAACGCTGAGCCTCCTGAAACGGCATGATGACCAATAACCACCCCGTCACCCCCTGGCCCTCATATTTTGTGAATGTGACTAACATGCCCATCCAACATGTGCCAACAGTCTTACCCGGAACGTGTATTTATATCCTCCCCCATGCCACAATTTTTGAGGAATCCAACCCAGTCTCGGGGTTCATTGAGGCACGAAACCAATATTTTGTCTGAGTCCACCCAAACACACACTATCCAGCAGCCACCACCACTTCTCAAATACTAGTCCCCCTCCCCCCCCCCCCTCCCCTTCCCCAAGCCATCTTGCAGTATGTCGGCCGACAAGGGAAAACAGATTCTTGAAATCCAACGGCGGTTCTTTTCTCGGATCGAGAAACATGTCCAGGATGAGATCGGCAGAATATTCGACTTGAGGAACATGGGCAAAAATCCTACTCGTGGCGCTCGTAAGGCTTGCCTCAAGATGGAAATAAAAATCGTTCGCTACTCCATCAACCACTTCTATTCAACTCACATCTTCAAAATTTCCAAACCTGCGTTCGCATTCATCGACAGTGTCCTGGCTTTCCAGCCGGTTCACTGCCTGCTGTTCGATCTCTCACGAAGCGGCGACCCTCCTGGCGCGGCACGCAGCCCACATTGGCCGTCCCGATCCGCTGCTTCAATGCAAGCAGAATATCCTGAACACGATATACAACTTCTCCGCTCCTTGGGTCTCGCCGCCGGATGGCCCCGATTCCGTTCCGAAGGATGCTCTACCTCTCAACCGCCCTCACGAATGCATTGTAACATTCCAGGGGGCCGATATTGGGGGATTTTTCCATGCGGAGCCTCTCGTCCTCCCGGGTCCTAATAACGAATATGTGCGTGTCAACGCCAGCGACGAGAAGGAATGGAACGCGTGGAAGAAATCATGGCGAGACGCCTACCCTCTTAAGCTCAGAGGACATATCTAGGTCGGTGGAATACTCGTAGAGGAACCATGATCACGAGCAACACATTGGGACTCTTGTCAGACACAGACGTGGTCATGGGACTCGGGGGAGACCTCAACACATGTATCCTCATTAGAAGAATCAGTCAGAGTGGTAGTGGGAGGTCGGATTTATGCAGAATGAACAGACAATGGCAGCGCATGAGTTGTGAAAAGGGCACTGGAACAAGAACGAAGACTACCTAGGTAGAGATTGGGTCCTCCCACCGTTGGCTGGCACCAATAAATACATGATGTATCTTTCTTGGTAACAAAGTACGCGCCTCACTCCTTGATCTGTGAGCAATTCTCGACAAACTCTCCCACACCCTTGACTGTTCTACCACTCATCATCTCAAAGACCGGAATGTCTGCTTCGAATTGTTTTGCAAACCAGTTTCGTAGCTCTACTGCGACTAACGAGTCTACGCCGTACGCGCGCAGTGGCTTCCCCGTGTCTACATCTTCGGGCTCTATCGACAGTGCGCGGGCGAGTCTCTGAATAAACCGACCCTAAGGGGCGAGGCAATCCCAGGACGCACGCAGACCTTCACCCACAAGAGAGTTCAGGACTACGTCGACGCCATAACCGTTCGGCATATGCATAACGCCTCTGGCGAACGTATTGTTGTCGCTTCGACTGCAGAAAATGTGATCCGAGGCGATGCCATACAATAAGGGGACAAAAGTCTGGAATACCGACCCCTTCACCACCAAAACTCCCCAACTTTTAACAATAATAAAACAACGTAAAGAAATCAGAAAAATAAACCATTTTAAATAATCAAACTTAAATATTAAATATATATAAGTCTATTAATATAATTTAAAAGTAAATAGTTATTAAAAAGAAAAGATTAAATAAAATTAAAAATAAATTTTACTTAAGAAACTTTGCGGGGAAATATAAATTTCATCTTTATTAAAAGATTTTTTAGGAATAAAAATAAATAAAATCAAATAAAAGAAGTTCTATAAACTCCTTATATTTAATTATTTATTTTATAAAGCATTTAATTTTACGATTTAATTTAAATTTTGTAGAAGCGTTTTAACATGTAGAGTTTTGGTGAGAATTGGGTTGATATTCCAGACTTTTGGCGTCTTAGTGTATTGGTCGATCAGCAGTTGTTTCTTGTCCTCGAATCCAACGGTTGCGAATATCTCTGCACCGACCATCTGCGATATCTAGATGGCTAACTGGCCTGTCGCACCCGATGCTGCATGGATGAGAATCTTGTCTCACCGGGAGAGCCTAGCCCACTTCCTAAAGTGAGTGCAACGTCGTGATGGCTGGGTTGAGTAGAGCGCATGCCTCCTCAAAAGAAACCCCCGGTGGTATTTTGGCGACCAGTCTTTCATCACCCCGCGGATTCCTACGCATACAGCCAATAACAAATATACAGACCCGACCACCGGGGCGTACAGACCGACAATCCGAACCAACTCGCGTCACGATCCCGGTACAGTCGACGCCAAACCCGGGGTCATCCAAGCGCCCTACCGCACCAAAGACGTCGCGGAAGTTGACCGCCCAACATTTGGGCCTCAATCTCAACGTGGCTTGGATCGAGATCCTTGTTGAACTCATCGTCCTCTCGGAAACACAATGTGTCAAGCTGCCCGCGAACCGCAATGTCGAGTTTCAGATGGGGCCCGTCTGCCCACGGCGAGAGTCTGACCCCAGGCTGACTCAGCGAAGATAGCTTTTGACCCAGAGAGGTACCTATCCTCGACCAATCGCCCTGTCAAAATCTGGCCAGCACGTACGATGTATTCCACCTCTTACGAGGTACCGGCGAGCAGAGTATCCCATTCTAGTTCCGTCATGACAAACCTAGGTTGTATGCCGGATTCATCCGTTTCTGGTAGCCAGCCCGGCACGCTACCAAAGCCAAAATTCAGGACGAAAGAATCAGGAACAACAGGTTCGTGAAGAAGCAAGTGGCCACCGGGCTTCAGCAGCCGCCTAATAGCATCAAGGTGGGCGGACAAGCCCCTTTTGGCGTGTAGAGCACCTCCCCACACGACAATGTCAAAGCTCGCCAGTCGGAGACCCTATGATTCTAAATCACATCCGAGGTCCAACGACTGCGGTTTCATGCGGTCCTGATACTTGACAAAGCGAGTCTGACTGGGAGATAGATCCGACGTATTGGTGTAGATATACTCGGAAAATGCAACTCCCCCGGTCATATCTTCAAGATGTTCAAGGATATTACCAGATTCGTCATGGCACCGTAGCTATCCCCGACCTCGAGGATCTTCAGCGCTGGAGTCTCGTGGACCGCCAGCTCAAAGTAGGAT